TCAAGGAAACCTCAGCTTTGCTCGGAAGGCCCTTTCCCTGATTGAGTCAGGCTCGTTCAGATTATGTAGGATAACCAGCCTGAAAGTCAACTGATTATGAGTTTTAATCACATGTGCAGAAGAAAGCAACGCACTGTACCCTACCTAAGTTGACACATAAAACTGACCTCTCAGAGATACAGTTGTTTATATGTAATGCGTTTTTTATTTTTATAGGAATTATATAGCTATTTTTTATTTCATTTCTTCTTTAAAATATATTTTGATTGATTTCAGAGAGGAAGGGAGAGGGAGAGAGAGAGAAGCATCAGTGATGAGAGAGAATCTTTGTTTGGCTGCCTCCTGCACACCCCACACTGGGGATCGAGCCGCAACCCGGGCGTGTGCCCTGACCGGGAATCAAACCATGACCTCCTGGTTCATAGCTCAACACTCAACCACTGAGCCACCCCGGCCAGGTATGTCATGGCCTTAAATGTCTTCTTGCTCAGGATCCTCAGGTGGCACATTCTAGGCTCCTCGGCTTTTTTTTCCCTTCCTTCTTCTTGGCTCTGGGAATTTAGATGAATTTATGAAGCTGGTTTGTTGTTCAATTCACATTGTATTTATTGATTACTTATTACATGCAGAACAGTACTGTACATGTAATACCAATCCTTGCCAAAAGGTGTTTTCACCTAACATATTGTACTTCAGCTTTAAAAGTCCTTATGTTTCACCTGGCAAGCAACTTTATATCAAATTGGAACATGTGTGTGTGTGTCTGTGTGTGTGTGTGTGTGTGTGTGTGTGTGTGTGTGTGTGTGAATGAACATGATATGAGGGGTTTACTCTATTCATTAATAACCAGAATTTTCTGTAAACCACCCCCCAACATTGGTAGAGAAGTAAGGCAAAACACTTTGATGACTTTTGGGAGGGGGAATTTATCAACTTTTTCCCCAAGCATGTAAATAATTAAATCAGTCACTTCAAGGTCTCAAAATGTAATTTAAAGCCAAACAAAATGACTAATTTAATACAGTGGACCTAATGTCTAAAATAAATCTATTTTTTGGAATGTAGTAGCATGAGCAAGCATGTACACTTAAAACCTGTATGATTTTGGGAACCAGTGTCACCCCAATTAGATAAAAATATATATATCATGATTTCAAATTACAATATTCTAAAGAGCAAACACATCTATAAGAGGGCTAGTGTTTTTGCTTTCTTTTATCATCAGCTTGCCTTTGATTTGGTAATTGTGATTATTGTGTCATTATCCACTGAAAAGTTAGTAACAACATTCTTGCTCATAGGTAATATAAATGTATTGCTCATGCTTTTTCGTTTTTATCCTAATAATGAAAAACTGATCTGTGTGTAAGACTAAGGATGTACTTAATAGTAAAATCATACTTAGAGGGAATTATTATTTGTGATCTTTATGACTATTAATGATGTATCAGTAAGAGTTGGTTATATAAATGGATTCTTTCTAGTTTCTGGTAAAGAGAAACAATCCCATTGCTTTGTCTCCCACTGAAGAAAGCATAGTGGAATTCAAATCAGTGAGAATTGCCCAGCTGGTGTCGCTCAGTGGTTGAGTGTTGACCTATGAACCCCTTTGATTCCTGGTCAGGGCACCCATCCGGGTTGTAAGCTTGATCCCCAGTATGGGGCGTGTAGGAAGCAGCTGATCAATGTTGCTCTATTGTTGATGTTTCTGTCTCTCTCTCCCTCTCCCTTTCTCTCTCTCTAAAAATCAATGAAAACAGTTTTCAAAAATTCGGTGAGAATTATATCAGAACGGATTGTTTTAATTCAACATCTAGCTTTGAAAATACTAGATTAGTGCATTGTATTATTACATAACCACTACTCTGATAGGACCAGTATTTGTTAGTCTTTACAGTGTTTTAGATATTATTTAGGAGCCTATGATAGATTCAAGAAAATAAAATTGCCTCCTTCCTCCCTCCAGGTGTTCATCTATATCATCGTGTCACCTTTCTGTGGTGGGTTTACATGGCCAAACTGTGGGAAGAAATAAAGACAAGTTAACCAAGGACATGCAAGAACAAGAAGTTAAAAGTTCCACGCGTCTTAAGCCTTTTCACACTGACAGATGGTGTCTGCCAGTCTCTTGAACCCTCCTCTTTCTTTTTCTGTTTATAATCTTGTTCTATGCATCCAGATTGATCTCTGTCCTGTCAACCAATTTATTCCAATACTCTTCACATTGAGCCATTCATTGCAGCAGTAGCCTTAATGGGCTTTTTGTTCGTTTCTTTGGTTAACTACTGTCATCTCCTTAGAGAAATATTTTTGTTTGTAATTGCACAGAGCTGTCACCAAGGCAGAAAGCACCAGTCCTGGGAGCTATCTCCTGTAACTATAGGCGCGTTTCGTGCCCGCACGCAGAAGTGTGCGAGACACAGATAGTGTTGCTAACATCTCATCTTTGTTTTGTTTTGTTCTTGAAGGGTTTTAGGTGCTCCAAAATGATATACATGGAGACCCATTGTTATTTGGGGAAGTGTAATGACACTGCTGGTGCTGCTTGCTTCTAGGAGCCCGGGCAGGTGAAGTATTAGACACTTTATCTCATCAGATGGGGAACCTTTTGCTAGCCCATTGGAAGCACAGGGAATCATCTTTGACCTCCTAGTATTCACTTTCCAGAAGAAAGCTCTGACCATTAACAAACCTCGCAGAGCCTGATACTCTCTGTTTCCCCATCACAGTTGAGTTGAGAAGAGGCTAGTGTCAATGTTATTGAAGGATATGTTGTTTGTATTTTGTTCTTCAATTGCTATTTAGAGCACCTGTATCATTAATGGGATACGTCATGGAGGGACGCCAAAGGAGGAGAGAATCACGGCGAATATGTTGGCACGTTTGCTGGACAAAGGGAGGTAGCGTGGGGACTGTTTGCCAGTCTGGGAAAATCCCAAGCAGAACATAGTCAATGGTCAACTGCAGGGTTTGCTGTTGAAAAACAGTCTGGGCATTCTTTGTGGTTTCGTCAGTTCCTCAGCTACCTCGTTTTGAATAATCCTTTTGTGAAGTGAGAGTAGGCAAGATGAGGTCTAGAAACAATACAAGACAGCTTGGCGTTCATTGAAATGCACTGTAAGAAAACGAGTCCTACTGTTTTGGCTACTCTGACATCTGTTAGCTGGTCTGCACCTTGAATGTGTATCTGAAAGGACATTTGCTGCCCAAGATCTAATTGCATTTATCATAAAGTGCCAGGAAACGGAAATTAAATTACATTTGATTATTTTCCCAACAAAAGAACAAATTTGGTCAATAAACCCCAGCCACCTGTTTAGCCTCGTCATGTGCCTTGAAAATATATATATATATATATATACCCGGATTCATTTCTTTGACATGTACGTTAGGGCCCCTGGAAGTCTTCCTGGTGATCAGACAAAGCACGAATGTTTTTCCAGTCCTGTTTATCAACACTAAGGCCTTTTAATTACATCAGCATTTCCTATTGGGAAACAC